CCAGGTTGACCCTTTCCCCACTAAGATCCTCATATTCATTCAAGACCTCCAGCAGATTTTCACATTCTTGCATCGATCCTCTGAGGAATAAATATGAATCATCGGCAAATAACAGATATGAAACACACGGGGCTCTGGGACTACCCCAAACGCCTGCTAGATTTTGCCGCTCGATGGCCTTACGTAGGAGCGCCGCAAACCCCTCTGTGCATATGACAAAGAGGAGGGGAGACAAAGGATCGCCCAGTCAAAGTCCCCGAATCGAGTTAAAAGAACCAGCTGGTGTACCATTCATAAGAATAGAAAATGAAGAGGAACGCAAGCACCCCTCACTCCATTGTACCCAAGTCGGATCAAACCCCAAATTCCTAAAACCGCAAGTAAGAACGGTCATTCGACTCTATCATAAGCCTTTTCCCTATCAAACTTCAGAGCCATGTTTCCCTTCTTACCTCTAGTCTTAATCTTAAGGTAATGCATCAATTAGTGTCCAATGAGCACATTATCCACTATCTGTCTTTCACGAATAAAGACGTTATGCCCCGGCAAGATTATCTAGGGGAAGAACCGAGCCAATCATTAAGACATATTTTGGCAATGATTTTGTACACGAATTGGCATAAATTTATAGGTCTTAACTGGCGCATATTCTCCATATTAACCACTTTGGGAATAAACGTTACCCAAGTGTGGTTAAAACTTCGTAACATTCGCCCTGTCCAAAAAAGGAGTAGTCAGTTTCTACCACTGACTCACCAACAATATCCCAAAATGCGCGAAAAAATTTCATAGTGAAATCATAAAAGAGGTGAATAAAAATATAAAGCCCATGTATAATTTATAGATGAATGCATAAAAAATTGTAATAATTATATATTCATACTTACAAACTTTGACTAACTATTTTCACCTAGCGACCATGATATTTATAAATATCATAATATTCAATATAGGACATATGTCCAAAATACAAAGTGTATAGTATATTTTTTATATAAAATATAAATATACTAATAACATATCTTCACATGCTCAACTTTAAATTCTTTTAAAATAGACGTTTTTATACTTTTTCACTCCATGAAATGGTTACTTGTTAGATCAAGTGTTGTCACTTTGCAGTCATTGGATTGACGTAGTTCTCACTGTTAGTAAACGATATATGATCTATGATTTAACCTCTTTCAACAACTCGAGTTATTGGGATCAACGAGTTCTTGACATGGTATTTGAGCCTTCTGTAACTAAAAGGCTTTGTGTTCAAATCTCGGTAACCCCATTGGTAAACATATGGCGTCTGGTTCCTGTGCAAATTTCAAACCTATATAAGTGGCTTTCTTTTGAAGGTTATGTTAGTAAACATTATATGATAAACACCTAAGCTAATATCGAGCAGCAAATCATAACTCATTTATAAATAAATAAATAACCCATAAAAGTAAGATATATAAATCAAGGGCAGTGATCACTCATTGTCACTCTGCAATCTTTCTTTACTAATTGCTAATGGGGCCAATTCCATAGTACCTTGATATTGATATATCGCACCACGTCGTCCTGACCACTATTATTGTCTCATTTTTCCAAACGAACCAAAAAAGAAAGAAAAGAAAAAAGCAATTCCGACCAATAAACTTGCAAGTTGCACCCCACAATTAAAATTTCACACCAAATTCTACGGCAGATGAGCTAACCAAATTACTGTTTACCCACCCTTTTAATTATTTATTACAATTTACTCCCCTCTTTTCTTTCCCCCATAAACATCGATCACAAGTTCAAACCAGAGAGCCACATCACTCATTTGTCTTCCACTTCACTCTTCCATTTCCTACTCAGAAAAGAAAGAGAGAGAGAGAGTGGGAGAAAAAAAATGCTGCCGGAAACCTCTTCTTCCTCTGCTTTCTCCTCCCCTTCTCCGCCGGCGAGACCTCTAACCGCCGGGAAATCCATGGAAGACCTCTGGCAGGGTATCAATCTGGGTTTCCTCCGGCCGCCATGTTCAGCCGATTCCGCCGCCATCCACTTCGGAATCCTTCCGGCCGCCGGCGACCGGTACCAGCCGCAGCCAGAGCCCATTTGTCCAAATCCTCTGCCTTCCCCTGTTCTTCCCAGCTTCGGCACTAGTTTGAACCCTCCTCTTGTTTTCCCTTCCCACGGGAAGAGATCGAGAGCCGTCGGCGGCGGAGGAAAAGGCGGGGAGCAGTGGCAGAAGCGGAGGATGAAGAACAGGGAATCTGCTGATCGGTCCAGAGCTAGAAAACAGGAAACTTCCTCTGTTTCTCTTAGGACTTCACATGAATTCCATTCCTTTGTTTGTAGCTAAGATTTCTGCTTTTTTCATTTGGATTATTGGATTAATTTGATGGGTTTGATCTTGTTTAGGCTTACACTCAGGAACTGGAGAATGAAGTCGGTCGCTTGAAGATGGAGAATGCCAAGCTCAGATCCACACTGAAGGAAGAAGAGGTGATTAATTTGCTTAATTGACGTTTGATTCTAAACATTTCTGTTTAATAGTTAGAAATAACTCATTATCATGACGATTTGTACATCGAAGCATTAGCGTAGGAACGATCATCGTTAGCTCATTGGTTGCTAGTAATAGCTGATAATCTGAATTTGTGCGCAAAGATTATCAGATGTGATACGATTTTGTTGAACTGTTTCAACGTTTTCCATAATTGTGTGGTTGTCGAGTTAAATCTTGAAATTATTTTAGTGAATATATAAAGTTGTTGTTTTATAGTGCTTAACCACTATCGATCATTTGGAATAAAGAATGAAAAATAAATTATGTCACAAAGCTGTGGATATGATTGTTAATTATTTTCTTTTCTCCATGTTTGGTGACAGTACTTAGCTGGGGTGGGCGACCAGCTGCCTAAAAAGAACACTCTTTGTAGAACCTTAACAGCTCCATTTTAAGAAGTAAGAAATCCCCTCTCCCTCTCTCTTCTTACTACTTCTGGGATATGTGTCAATCAGTACCTAAATCAAATCATATTGCCACTTTAGTCCCTCAAATTGTATTGTTTCAGCAGTCCGGCTGGTCTGTATATTTAAGTAGACCCTTTATTTGGTGTACTGGAAATTTGCACACAATTATCATCTGTGTTCACTTCTTGCCTCTCTTCCACATGAAGAACATGCATTCGCTCCCGTATTCGATAGCTGTAGTTAATCTATCTAAGTCGTTTAGGTCTAACCATTCATAATAATACAAGGTGGTGGTGCAAAATTTACGAAGGACAAGCTACGATAGAAAGTTACTGATAGATAACGAGAGTTATTTGTGTTGTTCTAACGTGATTGTTTTAAATTTCTGCGAATTTTATTACGAACTGACTCTTTTCATGTGATACTTTTCACTCGATTCTTGTTACAATATTGAGCCAGAACTTAACTAGAAAAGTCTCATATGACCAAGTAAACATACTCAAAATTTACATGATTTTCCATTTCTGGGAACACAGGATCTATATCATGAAAGGAAGGAGAAATGGGAAACAGAGGAATCAATCAAAGGGGTGAAAAAGTTGGCTTCTTTTTGTTTGGACATTTTCAGAAAGGACCAATCATGAGCCCTCAGCTAGGCCCACCCACCAGAGTTGGGAAGAAGATAACATTTTCTTCTTTTATTTGTGGCCATTTTTTCTGGGGTGCATCCAATGAGATTAACCCTTGTGGGGAATGATGGTGATGGTGAAGGCTTCCAAAAGGCCTCGATTTCAATTTGGGTAGGGGCCTGGTTTTGTCTGGCCATAAGTGAAAATGTAAAGGTGGGATATGCTTTTAGTTGTTTTTTAGGCTTCAATTTTCAGGGTATGTTTATCTAGCATATGTCATAAAAAAACAAAAACAGAAGAACAAGAAAAGTAAGTTGTGAGTGGTTGAAAATTTTGTTATCCTTCACATCGTTCCTGTCGCATTTGGATATGAGTTAATGTGAGGTCTTATAAAATGAATCATGTTGAGATCTCTTCGTTTGAAGGAGGATGGGAGATAGGGATGACAATCTCATCCACAATCGTGGTTCGTGGGTATTCGATCTTGTTAGTTTAGGGAATTTCTGCCTTCATTGATAGAGTATAGGGTATGAGTAATACTTGTAGTGAGAATGGTAGGAATGACATTAGGTGTTCCTGCTCCATCCATATATGCATGCAATTCTTATACCATTTAACTACATTTTGTTACGTGTCATATGATCCCTCCTTTCTCAATTTTTCATCGGAATTTAGAAATAACACTATCCTGAACTCCTTAAATTCATATTTTGTTGTCGTCTATTCAGTATTCAAGCTCCAAAATTATACATATTTTCAACTTGATTGCATTAATTTAAATTGAATATTTGTGACATATGCAAGGTGGAAATTATCACGGATATCCAAAAATCCGGAGAATGAGAATTAGGATACAAAATTTACACCCACACGGGAACAAGGGCAAGTATAATTTTGAATTTTGAAAGTGTAGATGAAAACACATTTACGGTCCATGTATGCATTAGTTTCATGAATTCTTAACCAATAAGTCATATACAACGTGTATGATACTGCATCATATAACAATAAAATCACATACTAATAATTAAATCGGTACGATAGTATCACAATATTCTACCGGGTATCTAACGATTTCTCTGCCATACCAACTATCATAGTATTCTATCGGGTATTTAACAATTTATCTACCATACCCGTACTATACATTGAACCTTCACCTACTCCATCTTCAGTACAGTTTGAGCATTTTAAATAGGTTTAATTCACCCGTGTAGCCATAACTTTCACGGTTTTGACAAATATAGCCACTTTTTGAATAATACACAGATGTAGCCATTTTCGTCCCATTGTTTGACGGTTCACTTAACTCGCTGACTGGACTAACGGTAGCGGCTGATGTGGCGTGTTTTCATTTGCGTCTTTGCCACGTGGATTTTCTTTTTAATTAAAAAGTAAAATTAGAAAGAAGAAGACGAAAAGGGGATTCAGATCACTTTCCCCTTTTTCGTTCAACTTTCCCAAAAGAACTCTCCTCCTTTTCTCTCGACTCACCCCAACCCTTCCCGATCGTCGACAAAAGGAAGCCATGAATTCGGCCGGCGAGTAGCATCGGACGGTCTTTCTGCTCAACATCGGCCGGCGAGTAGCATCGGGCGAGTAGCATCGTCCGGCGAGTAGGAAGAGCGAGGAACCCTAAATCGTGCGATTCGTGCTAAGAAACCCTAGTTCGTGCGATTCGTGCGATTGGTGAGTCAAGATGAACTGCTGTGGGTGTTTGCTCTAGTCTTCTTCTTTTCACAGTTCGAATGAATGAATGAAGTGCTTGTTCTGTATTTATAGGTTCAAAGGTGGAAAGCGACATTCCCAACTTCTTCGAGGGACCAGCCGAACTTTTTTTTCACGAGATTGCCCCTGAAAAAGACGGTAAACACATAGAACCTCTAGTTATAATCGTCATTTACTATAAAGTCTTCCACTTCTCGTGCTTCTCTTTGGCTGTATGTGGAGTTCCCCAATTTGTTTAATCGCTTCGTGGATGTGTGTGTCTGACTTGTTTATTAGAGATTAATCATTAATTAGAAGAAGTTAATGAATAAACAATCAATTTATGCAGAGAGATGGCAGATTCGTTGGAGGAAGGGAATGGTGAGAATGTCACAAACCAGGAAGGAGAAGAGGATGATTTCATGTCATTAGAAGATGGGGTAGCAGCTTCTGTTGCAAAGGAGGTGTACCACGTTTACGATTCCGATGATGCTGATACTTCGGATGATGAATATCACGAAGCACGTGATACTTACGAGCATATGGCGAGACGAGCAATTGGATGAATTTGAAGAAGTTGAGGTTGAAAGTGGAGAGGAAGAGGAAGCAGAGAATGATAATGGTGAACATGGAGAGGATGCAGGGGGAGAGCAACCGAGGAATGAGGCTTCAAATCATTCTATATCCAATCATCCTCCCCCTGTTCAAGAACAAGCCGTTGGTGAGAATTCCAATGACTCGTTTACAGGTTGTCTGAAGATTCAGATCATGTTCGTCCGAACTTATCTGATGAAGAGGCTAGGGAAATGCACGATGATGCTCCACACTATGATCCAAATTGTGATCATAAGAGCTTCCAATTTGTGTGTCGGATGAAGTTCGCGAGTCCAGAGCAATTCAAGGAGGCTGTTGTTAGACATTCGGTGGCAGCTGGTGCAAGTCTGAGGTGGCTTAGGACTAATCCTAATAGGAGGGAGGTGAAATGTAAGGCTCTGAATTGTAAGTGGAAGTTGTATGCCAGTTGGTTCAGGAAGGACAGGAGCTTCATGATAAGGAAAGTAGGGCTGCCACACTCGTGTTCAAGGCAGCTTAGAGTGAATCAAGTCACTGCTAAGTGGATAGCAAGTGACATGTTGGAAAGATTCAGGATAAATCCTGAATGGGCTCCGAATCAGATAATGGCCGAGGTTATGCTGAAACATAACATGGAGGTTAAGTACAGAACTTGTTATAGGGCTAAAGTGGAGGCTATCAAGCTGCTTAGTGGTTCATTGGTTGATGAGTACGTTAAACTCAGAAGTTATATGGCTGAATTGAAGAAACGAGATAGAGAAGGGCATTTCATCTTGGAGGTAGACCCACATCCTAATGGCAACAAGGTATTCTTTCAACGAATGTACATCGGGTTCTCAAGTTTGCAGGGTTTAGTTGAGGCAATCCACAGCATTCTGCCCGATGCTGAGCACCGAAAATGTGCAAGACATGTATACGCCAACTGGAAGGCCAAGAATAAAACAGATCGGGTTAGGAAGCTGTTTTGGTTTGCCGTTTATGCTTGCAACGAAGTCCATTGGAACCGTTATACAACTGAGTTGGAGGCAATTGAAAAGTCAGGTGATGGTTCTACCCCATACACTGACTTTATGGCTGCTGAACCTCGTCGTTTCTGTCGTGCATTCTTGTGGTTACTGGCAACTTAGTGGCATTCCATGCTGCCACGCGGTTTCAGCTATTAGTCATCTTTTATGTAACGTTGCTATATAACGACGGTTACTTGATCAGGAAGCAGTTCTTAGCATATTAGGCAGCAAGTTAATTTTAGCTATTGCAGACAGCTTGTTAGCTGCAGGTGTATTTAAGCTGGAAGGAAGGGATTGAAGATGGAAGGAAGGGATTGAAAATGAGAAGGAGGGGTAGAGAGGAGGTCTCGACGGCAGTGAGGAGTTGGGGTAGAGGGGAGGTCTCGACGGAAGGGATTGATGCTGAGAAGGAGGCGTCGACGGCAGTGGGGAGTTGGGGTAAAGAGGAGGTATCGCCGGAAGGGATTGAAGATGAAGGAAGAAGGGATTGAAAATGAGAAGAAGGGATTCAAAATCAGTCTCTGCTCTGCGATAGTGAACCCTAGAAAATAAGAGAGGAAGGGGATTAGTCGACGATGGCGATGAAGGGGAGAGAGACAGAGAGTTAAATAAATTTTTTTTTAATAAGAAAATTAAAAAAAAATTCCGATGTGGCGTCCACGTGGCTAACTCCATCCGGTTGGCGTTGACGTGTCATCCATTTGGCAGACATATCAGCAAAAAGTCCACTTCACTGACAGAGGCGTTAACACCGTCAAATGTTTTATGTAAAATGGCTAGATTAGTCTACAATGTTTGAAAAGTGTGGCTACATCTGTGTATTATTCAAAAAGTGGTTATATTTGTCAAAACCGTGAAAGTTATGGCTACACGGGTGAATTAAACCTTTTAAATATATGAACTCTTAACCATAACCATTGATTGATTGCAATTATATAATATTTTGACACGTTGAAATGGTGTAATACAAACAACTTATCTATATTTGGGGTACCCTTTTCGAATTTCAATCATTGACTATTTCTCCTGCTTTCCTTTTCTTAGTAATTATTGTCGTTGATAAAACTATATTTGCCTATTTGGGGTACCCTTTTCGTAATTACAGGCGCAAACGGATTTATAGTACGCACTTGCAAACACACATGTTTGTACTTGATAAAACAAAATATGCAAGTAACATAGGAAGATAATATTTTTAATATTTCATTTATTTTTGTTTATTATATAGTAACTCGGTCCCAATATACATGAAATTAGATACATTGAAAAAACTATGTGAATAACCATCATATTCATCCATTATTATCTTATTTAAATTCAATTCAATATCGAAGTTACTAGCACAAATGAGGGGTGGAAGTCTTATTCTTAAACAACACATTCGAACTTTACTATTTTTTGTCCAATTTGGATTTAGTCAACAAATAAAATTCCAATTTGGACCACCTCAAAAAGTTGTCTTGTTTTCACAAAAGTAAAAAGAGTCTGAATTACGGGGGAAAAAGTATGTGCCTGGGCCATGGAACTTGTGACAAAATGGCGGGCCAACGTGCATGGCCCATTATTGAATCATGACTCATGAGGATGGGCTATCAGGCTTGGGCCCACAGAATTCGTTTGATATTTTCCTTGGGCCCACACAATTAACTGTGGATAGGGGTAGGCATTGGTGCGGTGAAACTGCACCGAACCACTTTTGCGGTCGAATCAAACTGCTATTATACTTGCGATTTAATATGTGATCTGAATTTTTAGTGGCTCGAATTTTGCAGTCGGATTAATCCGAAACTGAGCGATTGCAATCCAAAACCGCAAACCGCAAATAATCTTTATTCGGCCTCTGATCACCCGCAAGGCGCTGTCCGAGACTGAGCCTATCATAGTGGGAAGATCAGCTTTCTTCTATAATGGCATTTCTCTTTTTCTTTCTCGCTCTCGCATCTTCGCACCACTTTCGCTTCCACAAGCACTTTCTAGCAACTGACGGCTTTGGGTCTAAGTCGCACAGGTCACCACGCCAACCTCACGAACAGCTACAAACTGGAGATTTCTGGGCAGAGGGATCCCATGTTAAAATGTGAAGGCCAATTCTAAAATTTACTGAATAATCAAGAAATAAAATAAAAGGAAAATGAATGGCATGAATTTAGTCGGTATAGATATCCGGCAAGAATGAGCTAGAAACTCATTAAAAATTAATGGGTTGTGATGGTGTATACCAATTAAGTACTTTTGTATAATTGATTGGTCTTAATAGTTTCGAGTGTTTAATGTGGTTAGAAAAATAACTAATTTGATTTATACATATAATATCAGTTTTTTTCTTACAATTATGTATTATGAATATAGAACGTGAATTCAAACTTGTCAATTAAATTATGCATAGTCTATATTACATTGCGGTCAAATATACGATGCAATCCAAACCGTACCAAATCGCCTGTCTAAGTGGTTTGGTTTAACCGCACCACTTAAATTGCGATCTAATATGCGGAGCGATCCATATGAGGTGCGGTGCGGTGCGGTTTGTGATGATGCGGTGCGGTGCGGTTGGACCGCACCACTTGCCCACCCCTAACTGAGGAGAAAGAAACGCAGTGTGGGTCCACAAGACAAATTAGCTTCCAACCAATTTTAGTTTTATCCCCGCGAGGGGAAAAATAATTCTCCTTAGAATCAACTAAGCTTTTTACCCAATCAGTTGGCCGGTAATTATTTTATTTATGTTAAAGTTTATTATATTATGTATCTATTGTCTCGTCTCACAATCAATATTTTAAAATTGTAGATGGCAAGTCGAGTATTTTGGTTTGGGGTGCAAATCAGGATGAATTTGTTCTGTTCATGAGAGTATACATTTCAAATGAAAAAATTCATTGATAATTTAGGAGACAAATGTTATACAAAATGAAAATAGAGGCTATGATATATAAATAAAATTAAATTATTTATGAATTAAATAACCTAATTATAATTTATCAAGGGCAAAATATTAGATATTAAAAGTAACTTGAGGGCCTGGTCTTATCGTAGAACACACACAATAATTAAGAGATTAACATAACTTGAGGGCTACACATAGAAATATAGATAGTTTCCTTCACATTTAGAACCATGTTAAAAAATCATTCATGCATTCTTAATACTACAGAGTTGAAAAACTAAAGGCTCGATAATATGATTAAGGTTTAATACACTTGTATATCCAAAAGTATCACGGTTGTGCCAATAATATCCAAAAATCCGGAAATACCACTTATATCCATGTTTTAAAGTTGTTCTTTGCCAAATCTATCCACTTCCGTTAAATACTTTGACAGCGTTAATAACTCCGTCAACATAGCTGACGGCAAGCTGATTGTACGCTAACTATGCAGACACGTAAGCGCCAACTACGCCAAAAGTGCCACGTAAGAATGAATTAAAAAATAATAATTTTTTTTTTAAAAAAACCCAATCCCACATATTCCCACTGAAGACGAACAACGAGGACGTTCAGTCCCCCTTTCTCCTTTCGATTTTAGGGTTCGCACAAAATCTCCTCCTGCCGACTGAGCCTCCTCCAGGCGATTGAAGATCCTCCAGGCGATTGAAGATCCTCCCGCCGACTGTATATACTCCCTGGGATTGCCCTAGTCAAAGATCCATTTGGTTCTCTCCCACATTTCCAATCTAGGTTTTTTCAGAATTGGTCAGCCAGAGCATCTCAAAACAAAACAATTCGATCAAATCCCTAGTCGGGAAACGAAAAAGGAGAGGAATTTCATTGAGGGCGAACCTGAAACAAGTAGGAATCGGAGGATTGAGAAGATTGCTCGCCCCCATCGATGCATTGGCCGGGGATCTCGAACATAGAGAAAGTGAACTGCTTATCCACCACCCCGACATCGAAGTGAATCAAACCATTTTGGGGTCGTCGACGCGGATCCCTTTCACGGGGAACCAGAGGAAGAGCTCCTGGATCTTGCCCGGGGACAGGAGGCCGGAGATGTTGAAATCGTAATGGAGCTGGTTCTCCAGCTTGACGTTGCAAGGTTGGGTGTGGTTTATCTAGAACTGCCCCGTGGCTGAGTCGACGGAGAAGTTCGTTATCCCCTCGGGGAAGAGCCCGATCGGGAGGCCGTTCTTGTTGAGGTAGTCGTAGATGGTGGGTGCGTTGGCCGCGGCCGTCGCCGCGGCGGTGGAAATCGAGAGGGAGAGGCAGAGCAGCAAGGGGAAATTGTGATTTCGCATGGCGGCCATGGCATGGAAAGGATTTTCTTTCCCCTGGCTTTGCAAGGGTTTCCTCGTGGCTGAAGAAATGGGGGCAATTGAAATTTTTTTTGTTTAATTTTTTAAATAAAATTAATTAGCAATACACGTGGATAAGTAAAGAGGAATTGAGAAATAAGCGTGCGCCACGTAAGCACCGCCGTTTGTCCTGTCAGACCCTACGTTAACACCGTCAAAGAATGTGACGGAGTTGGATATAAGTGGTATTTCCGGATTTTTGGATATTATTGGCACAACCATGATACTTTTGGATATACAAGTGTATTAAACCTATGATTAATCAAGAATTGCAGTAGTTGTCCCCATGACCAGGCCTGACGAGTTAAACTTACATTTTGGGTTTAGAATATTTTTCATATTCGGATTTTTTTATTAGATTTTTTAGACCTATTTAAAAAGGTTGTAAACACGAGGTTTAGTCAGACCTTGATTGTAGTCGAGCTTCTACCTTTATATTGTTTGAATGTTTGTTGGTGGATTAATCAAGAATTTGCTCTTGTGGTTGGTGGATTTCAATTGCTTGAGTGTTGTCTCTGTATCAATCAAGTATTGCCCTTGATTGTGGTCGAGCTTCTACCTTCATATTGTCTGAGCCTCTTCCCATTTCGGGTGTTGAAGTTACATGATCAATTCGGTCTTATCCTTTTAGTTTTTCTTGTTGTTGAGAAAAATTCAGAAAACCCTAAAAAGATTATGGTTGCGTGACTTTGATCAATACAAGTATCAGTTCCGTGTTGGTATCATCTCAGATTTTCATCAATCTCTTTCTCTCATACTTCGATAAATTTCTCTCTACCATGAATTTTAATGGAGCAACATCCACCTCTGTTGAAACCTCCATATCCAACAACATATGCATAGGATATTCTTGTAGAGATGAGATGGCAGGGACAGTAGATTATCTACTGAGATGAAGTCTATTCGACCATGGGTTTCGGCCATATAAAAAACATGCTGGACTCTTGCTCAAGTGTTTTTTAGGCGGAATTCATCACTTTGGTTGACACATAAAACAAACCTTATATAGGCGTGTAACCCTACAAAGTTACTCCTAAAACTCATGAACATTTACAACCCGTGATCTAGTAGGCATGGTTTTTGTACCTGATTGTACAATATCCCGACTAAACTTAAAGTGTTTTATCAACATTTACAACCAATGAAATGCTATGAATCTTCATTTGTTTTATCAACAATCCCACCATCCGTTTGGTGTAAATAGTAGGATTTCAGATGCAGTTTCACTTCGTCCTGATTGAAGATGTATCTTTTTTTCCCTCCTGTAATTGTCGTCATAATTTGTCTCTAGTTGTTATCCTATTGAGGATGTATCTTTGCCAAGCCTTTCATTGATTTTCTCCATTGGTATTATAAACTTGTCTGTCCTTTTTGTTGCTATATCTCATATTATGTACCACTTATTGCTTCCCTTATGAGGATTTGTAGTACTTCTCATCTCAACCTTAATATATCGACAAACTTTTGGAGACCTTTTACATCAAAAGCTACCATGCAGGTTCCCTGGCAGAGAACATGAAGCAAGAACACAAAGAAACTACCACTAACGGGAATTCGGTTGTAACTGGTTCCTGTATGAACAATCAACATGGAGTAGCTAGAAGCCATGGCTAGGAAATACAGATTCTTTAGCAAGCAGGAAACTGAACACGTAGCAAGGGCAAACACATAAATGGATAGTCATACCGGCGCAAGTAAGGAAAGATAGAGAGAGTTGTATCACAAAGTTCAGATAGACTAAGAGATGTCTGGAGGGGACGACTGTGTGTTCATGGAGGGCAAGGATAAGCGGATAGCTAGGAAAGACAGATTCTTTGGCAAACAGGAAACTAAATATGTAGCAATGCCATAACAGATAAACGGATAGTCATATCATACTGATTAGGGAAACAAAGAGGGAGACAGAGAGACAGAGTTATATCACAAGTTCACATAGATTAGGAGATGTCTGGAGGGGATGATTGTCTGTTCATGGAGAAAACCAGGATAGCGAGACTGAAAGCTGGAAACACAGATTGAAAAACATAGGCATTCTGGAGAAAAGAGCTGTGAAAGGCATCACTCGAAGGCCCATTGGTTCTCTCTACGAACTTCCTCTTCTTCCTCTGGCGTGAAGTCGTTCTTGATGTTGAAGGTCTTGCGGATTTCCTCCGGAGTTTTGCCCTTGATCATATCTGCCACAGTCTGGCAAGTTAGGTCCAGCAAACTCTTGATGTTGAGATAGTTTGCAGCCTGAACACAATAACAAGAGCACAAACCCATTAGCTCAAACCACCACCACCACCACTCACTTGAGTCTAATATTAGCTAGTTCTACAACCCTGTTTTTCAAACCCTGACTATTCAAAAAACAATTAGATTGAATTCACCAATCGAGCAATTCATCTTTCTCATACTCATCACAAGGAAAACATCAACCCAAACGAAAGCGAGCAATTGAAAATCGCACCAAATTTTGGAGATCCCCAAACCCTAACCCTAGAAATCGAATTCCAATCAATCGAACCCAATGAATCAAGAAATTGAGCCGGAAGTAATAACCCAGAGAAGCAATCTAAGCGCGTCTGAGAAAGAGGAGGAGATGGTTACCAGGATCAGGTCGAAGAGAGTGGCCTGGTCGACCTTGACGAAATCGGCGTCCCAGGTCTTGAGATCATCGTCAGCGGAGGTAGGGCGTTCCTCGGTCTTGGAAGCGGCGGCCTCGACGTGCTTCTTGCAGTACTCGATGACCTTGGAGAGGATCTTGCTGGTGACGTTCGGGAGCGGGATTCCGTTGTCGGCGCAGTCGTCCTCGATCATGTGCTTGATGGTCTGAGACTCCAGCGCCACCGCCTCGTCGACCTCGAAAGTCTCACCGTCGGAGCTCTTCAGAGTAATCTTCCTAATCGCCGCCGACGACATCTTCGCGGTTATCTTCTAGCCTCTTTTCTCGATTTCTACCGGCGAGCGAGGGTTTTCCCTCGATCGAAAAGAGAGAAACTTGGATGGAAAATAGAAAGAGAGAGAGCCTTTTTCTGTCTCGTTTTCTTGCAGAGAGAGAACGGTGGGGGAGGATAAGACTTAAGAGGGCTATTTATTACTTTATTCACGTATTTTCATTTTGCGGGGAAAAAATTAGTTGCTGCTAAACAAGTCAAACCGGTTTATGTCAGTGTGCCGGTTTAGCAAGTGGAATGATTCAACCGATGGCACATACCGGTTTGTGCCGGTTCATGCCGGTCAATATTACAAATAAAATTATAAATACTCATATTTAAACATGACATTTAAGGTCAATACCTAAATATTTATACTTGAATCCAACAAATAACATCAGTATTTAACTTTTATAATCATAAAATAAATAATAACATAATTTTTATCAATTAAATTCTCTAAAATAAGGTCATTTTACTTAGAGATTCGTATATCGATCATGCTGGTCATACCGGTGGTGTCACGCCGGTTTTATGACCGGCACCGGTTGAACCCGGTACAACCGGTGGCATGCTGCTAAACTTCGCCTTTCAAATTGTTAAAAGTGGACCTAAAAAATATTACAGTTTTTCAATCAAAAAAATATACATATTAAAGTTACATTTTTAACCACTTAACTTCTTTACCTTCTCTTTAGCAAACAAACATCACTTAGACTAAAAAAAACACTATCCAGGTAGAGAAAAGTTCATCATTGTCATTCTGGAGCCGATATCGTCGGTAGGACGTCTAAATCATGAGTAGCGACTCCAATGAGTTAAAAACGTTCACTAAAAAAACCAAAAAAGGGAACCGCGGCTTAGATGTGGTTCGACCATAGTCCAACCGTAGGTCACTTGCGGTTTAACCATGGTGCCAACCACAAGTGACATGCGGTTACACCATGGACCAACCGCAAGTGAGTTGCGGTTGGACCATTGTGGAATCGCAATTGACCTGCGGTTGGTCCATGGTCGAACTGCATACTGAGCCGCGGTTGAGAGTTTTTTGTTTTTTTTTTCTATGATTTATGGTTTGTTCCTTGAGATAATTTGTTGTCTTTTGGTTTATATAAGTTTTAGATTCATTTGCATAATTATTTTTAAAATTGAAGGATTTAGCATTAGAAATTAAGATTGGATTTGGCCTTAAAATAAGATTAGATTAGATTTGATCTTAATCTAGAAAATTAAGATTAGATTTATTGCATAAATAATAGATTTCGCATGTGAAGTTATGATGATTGTTAAATTAAATGTAGTTATGAAATTTTAAATTTATCGTAGAGTACTCGTTAAATTGACGATATAGAGAATGTTAAGTTCTTTTTAAATTTGTGGAGTATCACTTATAAATTCTGATAATATTGCAGGATATTGGTAGTTACAATCCGGATGGCCATGATTACACCCCGGATTTCATTGATGGCGTGAAATACACTACGAATTTGCAAGCATATGAAGCAGCTACTGAGATTGCCAAGGGCTTGGGGTTTTATTTGGTGAGAGCAACGAACAAAAAAAAAACGTGAAGCTAGTTGGCGACATTATTTACATTGCACTCATGGGAAGAAGAAAAGGTCGAAGGAACCTGATCCGACTAAGGAGAGGAGACCTCTTACTGCTATTGAAAAATTGGGGTGCAAGTTTCAGATCAACCTTGAGCGGTCCGGTGATGGATATTGGTTGATCCTAGGGGTGGCAAACAGGGGGCGGACCCATGTGTTAGGGAGGTGTGTCGCCCGAATATTTTGTGAGAGACCCATGTTTTGTCGGTATAATTTTTTGGAATTTAGGACTTTCGACACACCTTCAATAATTGTAATCGACACACCTTTAATACACTACGATGAAATTGGTGTCATAAAGTTCCCAAAATACGTAAATATATAATATTTATTTTAAATTTTAGTTAATTTATGACAAATTTGGGGTTCTTTCTATTGCTTAAGCATTTAGACGCAATGGTTTATTG